AACAGATTCAACAGACAAGCATTTTACTGAAAGGAGCCAATGAAAGACAGTTCCCCCTTACAGAAGCAACCAAGGGATTCTGTGTCTGTCCCACTTCCTTTGGTGCATGTGTCTTTTTTTGTCCCTTTCCCTGCTCCACCGACATCCCTTTTCATTCCCGTGTCCCTCCCCCAGCCAACCTTTGATATGATGGCTCAGGCCTCAAGTCACTGCTGTGATGCCTCATACCGTGGCACTGATGCTGGTCTCTCACACTGCTGCCAGTCTCGAGTTTAGGAGACTCTAAGTCCAAATACCATGTGCCAGCTTTGGTCCCTTTTCAGAGACTTCTTCAAAGTGCTATAGAGGAATGATACCAGTTTAGGGACTAAGGTGCATCTGATCCAGGCCATGTTCTTTGCAGTTACTTGCTATTCATCAGAGAGCTGGACAATGACTAAGATTGACAGAAGAAGAATTGATGCCTTTGAGTTGTGGTGCTGGAGAAGGGAATTTACCGTGGAGACAAGAAAACAAACAGGTTTGTCTTGGAGAGAGTGAAACCAAGTTTCTCCTTGGAGGCAGTGATTCAGAAATTCTGTCTTACATACTTTGTCACATGGCAAGGAGGGATCCGTCCCTGGAGATGAACATCATGTTTGGAAGGGTGGAGGGACAGCACAGGAGAGAAAGACACTGGATGAGAAGGACTGACATAGTAACTGGGGCTATGGGGGTAGGTGTATCAGAGATAGTGAGACTGGCTCAGGATAGCGCAGGGTCAGCACTATTGTACACAGAGTTGCACAGGTAGGTGATTCAATGGCACATAACAACAGCAACAAACAATAACAAGAATGAGAAAACGAGGGAAGGAAGTGGTTAACGAAGCAGAGAAGGTTAAGACTAAGGGAGGAAGGAAGAAATAAATGAAAGAATGGAGGGAAGAAAGAAGAAAGGAATTAAGGAAGCACAGAAACTGAAAACTAGAGGGAAGTAAGAAATGAAGGAAGGACAGGAGGGAGAGAAGAAGGGGAGAAAAAAGGAAGGAAGAAAGGGTGGGATGGTGAGAAAGAAGGGAGAGAGAGAGGATGGAGCATGGAAAGAAAGGGAGAGAGAAAAGGAGCACGGGAGGGGAGGAAGGAGAGAGGGGAGGATGGGGAGGGAGAGAGGAGGGAGGGAAGGAAGGAGGGTGGAAAGGGAGGGAGGGAGGGAGAGAGGAAAGGAGCAAGCAAGGTGAGGGAGGGAGGGGAGGGGGAAGAGAGAGGAAGGAAAAGAAGGAGGGAGAGAGGGAGGGATGGAAAGGGAGAGAGGGAAGGATGGAAAGGAGGGTAGTGGGGAGGGTAAGAGGGAGGGAGAGAGGGAAGAACAGGAAGGTGAAAAGAAGGGAGGGGAGAGGAGGGAAGGAGAGAGGGATGGGGAGAAGGAAAAGACGGAGAGAAGACAGGGAGGGTGAAATGGAAGAAGGGAGGGGAGAGAAGGATGTAAGGAGGGAGTGATGGGGAGAAGGAAAAAAGAAAGCGAAGGAAGAAGGGAGAGAAGGCAGGAAAGGAGTAAGGGAAGGGAGGGAATAGGAAAGGAGAGAGAGGGATGGATAGAAGGAAAGAACAGAGGGGAGAAGGGGAGAGGGAAGGGAGGGGAGGGAGGGAGGAAAGGTGGAGAGTAGTGAAAGGGGAAGGGAGAGAAGGAAAGAAAGTGAGGGAGGCAGAGAAGGAGAGAA